TATCAAAATCTTCATATGTTTCTATATCAAGAGTTTTTTTCTTTTTTGATATTTAGGCAGATTTAGGCAGAAAAGCCAAATAATTAGATTGTTAGCACATCCAAGCATTTTCTTATTTTTTTATTTAAATTTTTTAACTGCAAACTTATTATCTTTAGGACCAAAATTAATCAATGATGCTTTTTGATGATACTTTAGAGGCTTTAGAAAATATAAATCAATTGGCATCTATAATGTCTGAAGAAGTTATTATTGTTGTGGCAACTTTTATGATTATTAAGATTTATTAATTTGGTTTGCCTACTTATAAATCTTGCTATTACTAAATTCTGCTTACTTTTAAAATTTTACTCAGCATCAAAGACAACAAGTTAATGAATTTAAATTAACATTATTATTACATTAGAAATTAAACTCTTCAGTTTTAAATTGTTTACCTTAACTATATCCATTTTTATTTTAAATACGAGATATAGTATTAGATTTTAATTTTGATTAAAATTCTTAGGATTTGATTCTATTTGATTATTATTATTATGATTATCTTCTTTATTATAAATCATTTTATATCGATTATTATGTTTCAGATTATCTTTGAAATTACTATTTTTATGGTATATTTCTTATTATTATTCAATTTATTATGATTATTATTTTAAAAATAATAACTCCTTGATAATTAAGATTATCAGTCATTAACAACATTAAATTATTATTATCATTTCATTTTTATGATTCTATTCTTAATTAGTGACTTTATATATTCTGATTAGATTAAATAGGATAAATATAACTTACAAAAAATCAATACTGGTATTAATTCCTCTTTAGGACATTACTCTATAATCATATTATTTAGTTTAGAAAGAAGAGATTATAATAGATTAGGTATATCTTAACCTTTTTGCAAGCCACCTTCAATTGTTGTAACTCTTGACATTGCCATATCATCTTATAAACTCATTATATTTAAGACATTTAATTCTTCTATTTATTATTGTTTTAATAAATCTTCTTCTTTTATTTATTAATAATCTTCCCCTTGTTTTCTTACATATTCTTAATATTCATAACCACCAACTACTCTAGTTTTATAAGATAAATCAGATGGTTTGTTAAAATTAACTTATTTAATTTAGGCTAATTTAAGAGGTTTTATTTTTCTATTAATTTTTTTATTAATTCATTTTATAAAGAGTTAAATAATTTAAAAATCTAAAAGTATAGTTTAATTGATGATACTTAATTCTATAGATAACAATCAATAACAGGCGAAAAATGTATATTTTTAGGAACATCAACAGTAATATGAATTAATGTATTTATATTTACATCTCTTCCCCTTACATTCTTATACTCAATATAAATGGGATCACAATTATCCCCATTTATATTTAATAAATTAGATACATATCTTGGTGTCATATTTGAAACAATATCTTCAAAATAAATTTAGATCCCATTTTGTAAAATTAATAAGATGAACCTTTTCTTTAGGTATTATTGAATATGCTAAGTGTATTTATTCTTATATTTTATCTGTAACATTGTATTATACCATTTTGATTTTCATAAAAATATCAATGATTTCAGTTTCTATTTAAAATTACATCTTTTAAGTTTGTCAAGTAATTCATATTCTTCCTATTTAAACATATGATGCTTTATTGTTTTCATCTAAATCCAACATTCAATTTTAATGTTTCATACCAACAAGGATTTAATGTTTATCAACTAATTATAGTTTACACAATTTATCCTGTACAATTATTTTTACTAAAGGATCTGAGGTTTAAAATGTATTTATAGGAGATTTCTACCAAAATTAATAAACTCTTAATCAATTAAGCGTTGGTTTATTTGGTTTTCTAATATTAGGCATATTACTCATTAATTAGATATAAGCAAAAAGAAATCCTGGAAATTCATCATTTTTACTAAATCTACTGACCTATCCTATGTTAGATTTGAACCATATATTCCCCTTCAAACATATTAATTCTTATTTAATAAGGGAATTATGAAATTTTTTAGGACTTCATCTTTTTTTTGTTATCCAAATAGTGGAATATTCTATCCCCTTCTTATGAATAAATTAATTTCTCATTGTTGAATATCTTTTAAGTCCAGGCAATTAGAGATCAATTTATTTATTTCTTAATAAATTGGATTGTTTTTCTATCAAAAACAATGATATACTTTAATGAATTTCACAGCGTTAAGATATAATATTAGATTTAGTTAGAAATAAAAATCAGTAGTTCATATAGAATTTAATAAACTAAAACTGATTGATTCTGCTTTATTTACAGAAAGTAAAATAATAATATTAAAAACAATTAATAAAAAACTGACTTAAAATCTATTATAATTAATATGAGCAAGCACTTATTGAAATCACCTTTAATTTAGATAAGTTTATGTAGTTTATAGAAATTCGCGTTTATACAATTATTAGTTTCAGGAATCTATAAGTGAATTAGCCAAGAGGTCTGTCTATTCAAATAAAACACAAACAAAACATAATTTAAGTAAGATTGTTGATTAATGATTAAATGAAATATTTATTGTAAGAATAAAATGATTTCTTAAGAGTTTGGTGACTAATTTTTTGAATCCTAGGAATAATTGTTAAATAAAAAAAATAAATAAATAATTCCAAAGCGAGAATGTACTTTAATGCATTTTTAAATCTTATAATTTATAATAGGAATGAATAATTAAAACTAATGAAGAAATGACAGAAGTTTAAGAACTCTTTTCTTTTAGTAATCATTAAGATTTTACAATAAGGTTTCTTATATGGATATGATTCTAGGCCAGAATGATCTAAGGAACTCATATCTCCCCAAATCAATGAAACAAACATTCCAATACTTATTTGGGTCTATTTCAAAATAAGTATTTAGTGATCCATTTTCTCTTTGAGCAGCATGGATAACTAAAGAGATTAATTAGTTATCTAATACTAAGCTTTTTAAATCAGTTGATAATTTAGATACTATTAATGATAAGATTTTTAAGTTTTAGAGGTAATCTTTGTTAAAGAAAACCTCAGAATAGAGGAAATACTCATGTGATATTTAAATGTCAGCCATAATTATTGATGTCTTAATTAATTTATTTATCATATTACACGAATACATTGAATGCATGTTAAAGATAGACATTTACAATAACAATTCAATCATTACCCTAAGAAATTATAAGAATAGCTGAAATAAATCATAAAATTTTAAAAATCTTTGCTTTGACAAGCAGGAAAAATAAACTCTAATGAAAATAATAAAAATTTATTAATTATTTTAACCTAATTAAAATATTATTGGCTTAATTGTATATTTTTATTAAACACAATATCTTGGAGAATCTAAGAAAAAGGATTTGCAGAATAATTAATTTAAGAAGATTTATTATTGAATTTAAAATATTAAAAGATTATTATTAATCAATCACTTGTGAAGCTTTATAGAATTTATTTATTTTAAAATTCATTATCATGATACAAAAAGAGATCAGAAACTAATTTATCAACTAAACTGAACCCTTATTAATTCTCTAGGTATAAATATAACATTCGGCTACTTAAAATTTATTATTCTTTTATCTAATTACATTCGTCAATTTAAATTAAATACTTTTTAAAAATACAATATTAAATTTAAATTTTTTTTATTTTTAAAGCAACTATCCTCCTTAATTTTAAATATCTTTCCCTTTTGGGATTTCCAATTTTGACATTGATGTCTTGATGTCTGGATATTCCTTCCTCCAAATCTACATTAATGGATGATTCAGATATTTATTATTTTCAAAGCTTATTACCTAATAAATTCTACCTATTTATTTAAATTCTACTTCTTCACTTGAGGTTCATCTTTTTAGGTTTAACCTTTTATCTTATTTTTTGCATTTTGATCTCCATCAATTAATTTTTTTCATTCATTTCTAATGTAACAAGTTTAACTAAATNAAAACTAATGAAGAAATGACAGAAGTTTAAGAACTCTTTTCTTTTAGTAATCATTAAGATTTTACAATAAGGTTTCTTATATGGATATGATTCTAGGCCAGAATGATCTAAGGAACTCATATCTCCCCAAATCAATGAAACAAACATTCCAATACTTATTTGGGTCTATTTCAAAATAAGTATTTAGTGATCCATTTTCTCTTTGAGCAGCATGGATAACTAAAGAGATTAATTAGTTATCTAATACTAAGCTTTTTAAATCAGTTGATAACTTAGATACTATTAATGATAAGATTTTTAAGTTTTAGAGGTAATCTTTGTTAAAGAAAACCTCAGAATAGAGGAAATACTCATGTGATATTTAAATGTCAGCCATAATTATTGATGTCTTAATTAATTTATTTATCATATTACACGAATACATTGAATGCATGTTAAAGATAGACATTTACAATAACAATTCAATCATTACCCTAAGAAATTATAAGAATAGCTGAAATAAATCATAAAATTTTAAAAATCTTTGCTTTGACAAGCAGGAAAAATAAACTCTAATGAAAATAATAAAAATTTATTAATTATTTTAACCTAATTAAAATATTATTGGCTTAATTGTATATTTTTATTAAACACAATATCTTGGAGAATCTAAGAAAAAGGATTTGCAGAATAATTAATTTAAGAAGATTTATTATTGAATTTAAAATATTAAAAGATTATTATTAATCAATCACTTGTGAAGCTTTATAGAATTTATTTATTTTAAAATTCATTATCATGATACAAAAAGAGATCAGAAACTAATTTATCAACTAAACTGAACCCTTATTAATTCTCTAGGTATAAATATAACATTCGGCTACTTAAAATTTATTATTCTTTTATCTAATTACATTCGTCAATTTAAATTAAATACTTTTTAAAAATACAATATTAAATTTAAATTTTTTTTATTTTTAAAGCAACTATCCTCCTTAATTTTAAATATCTTTCCCTTTTGGGATTTCCAATTTTGACATTGATGTCTTGATGTCTGGATATTCCTTCCTCCAAATCTACATTAATGGATGATTCAGATATTTATTATTTTCAAAGCTTATTACCTAATAAATTCTACCTATTTATTTAAATTCTACTTCTTCACTTGAGGTTCATCTTTTTAGGTTTAACCTTTTATCTTATTTTTTGCATTTTGATCTCCATCAATTAATTTTTTTCATTCATTTCTAATGTAACAAGTTTAACTAAATGGTCTCTCTTATTTCATTAAGATATTCTAAGCATCTAAATTAATAATTATTCTAAAAATTCTGATACTTTCTGTTCAGTTATGTTTTTTAAATCATTTTTATTAAATCTTTTAAAAAGTCATCAAATTCATCTACCTGAAATATTATTTTTTTAATTTATTTATTAAATAGGTCTCAAATAAAGTATGACAATTCTTTAATTAGAACATCTCAGACTTCAGATCGATCATGAGAATATTTTAAATAAAGTAAAATGGATGATATTCAGTGTATTTGACAGAAAGTAAGCACTGTGATGGAGAAGGCCTATCTATTGCAGAAGACAATAATATATATAAAAGAAAATAATCAAATTATACATAACTCATCTCAATCAAATTAAATGTTAGTTAACTTAATTGAATCAATATATTTGATAATCATATATTAAATACCCTAAATATTTCAAACTTAAATTAGATGATATAGATAAAAACTATTATTAAGATACTAAATTTTATTGAATCCATGAAGTAGATAGATATAAATAAATAAAATAGAGTTTTGAAATTATCAATATCAATGATGTAAAAAGTTAATATTATTAATGAAGTTTAATTATTACTGCTAACATATTTACTTGTTCACTTCATAAATAATAAGCAGAATAATCATTAATATATCATTTAATTAATAATCCTCAATATTTTTAACAAATAGCATTGCTAATTATAGCAAAGGAAAAATTGAAATTCAAATAATACATTCATAATATAAGATTTAAGTAATTAGATTTCTTAGAAAACAGATTCCCTCTAAATTGCCACAGTTTTTAATATGATAATTAAACTAATTAAATCTCATAAATTTAATTATTCAGTAATAATTTCTTGACTTTGCAAACACAAGTATTTAATTCATCATTTCCAAGAAAATTGTTTCTATATTCAAAGGATTAAAGATCAGTTTTATTATCAATAGATTTTCAGATTATTACATTGTAATTATATATACTGATTCTATAGACTTTAATAAACACTCTTGGTAAATTGACTATATTGAAAAAGTAAGTAAAGTAATAATTTAGTCATTAAGTTTAGAGAATGATTGCCTTATTACTTAAACTTTTTAATTATTTTGAAGTAATGTTCTTATGCATTTTAAATACCCTAAGTAAATGCATTTGTTTATCCAAAATTTTATACTTCAAAACTAGTTAATTGTTCATTAATATCATTTCATTTCAATCTTAAAACCATGTTATTTATTGTTTAAGTAATAAAAAAAATTAGAATTTATAAATATTGACTCTGAAATGTTAGAAACATACCATTTTTAAAATGCACTCATGTAGAAATAAATAAATATTAAAGATATTTCCAATCAATTCATAATCAAATAAATTAATTCTCTTTTAATACAATCTTTACAAATCTCTACATCAAAAGAAAATACCATCAAAATTTTAGATAGTCTATCTGCAATAGTTAATTAAATAAAATTCTACAATTTTTATTAAAACTATGATAGTATTCTTATTTAGCTTATTCATCAAATAGTTTTGATTTCTATTAAAGGAACCCTTATTTTTTATGAATAAGAATGTAGTTTTGATAATTATAATTCCTTCATAATCGAGACTTAGATTTGATTCGAGCTTTAATTACTCACAAAGACAAAGATGGGGCTTCTTAATTTTTATCATCAAGTGTATTGGATTCTTTAAATATTGAATCAATCAAATACTATCAAGTTTATAATTTCTCATAACAAAACAAGAATTCAATAATTTTTAATTATTATATAAATTAGTAACTTTTATAATAACATCCAACATTTTTTTTCATACTTCCTTACTATTGAAATCCTAATCATATCTTAAAATATAACTTTAAAATATGAGGAGGAGACTGAATTTTCCTCAAGTCAATGACAAATAAAAATCTGTTTCTTATATATATTTTTTCATAGAATGAGGGGATTCGATAGGCATAAAGAAGAGAAAAAAATTCATTATGTTATACAAACAATTATATTTCTTAAATTTAGAAATCAAATTTTCTGATTATAACAAATTACTTAAGATCTTCTTTGCTAGAAGGGCAATATCAAGATTAATCAGGACCAATTTCTTCCATTAAGAGCTCAATTTGATCCAAAATGCTCAAATTGATGTTCATATCAAATAGTTATATCCAATCTTTTTCTCTCTCTATTTGAATTAAAAAATATTCTCTCTGATCAATCCTATTAAGATTTACCTGTTATCGCTGGGCTTTGGTTTTTTTTAATCAACAATTAAGCCTCAATCTATTGATTATATCTGAGAGATACAATTTAAAAATTTATGGTGGTATAAAGTTTATAATTAATTATTACTTTGAAGTACGTAATTGAATAAACTTTTAATTATATTTTAACATTGTTTTATGTGTCATATATACACCTGTTAATAATTTATTAACTAAATATTTCTTAAATTTGAGATCAAAGATAAGAATCTCATAGTCAAAATAAAGCTTTTTTAAACTTTGGATTTAATGATTTCTTCACAATGTCCAAAACGTTAAGAAAAACCAATACTTTTTTCATTCTTTGTCTTTGCTTAAATTGAATATTCTATGCAATCCTAAATACTAACAAACACTTTTTAAATAATTCATTTATGTTTCTCATCATTATTTAAGTCATTTAGGCTTAAGGAGATTTTTTAATTTTTTTAATTCTTATTGTCGTCTCTCTTTATTTTATTAAGAAAAAAATTACACTTAGTTCATTTTTATGAATTATTTTAAATAAATTTGAGGCAATTACAAAAGATATTTTATTGATATTTATTTTATAATAATAATACAATTAGATTTAAATTTATAATGGATTATCATCAATTTCTAAATAAGTTTTATAAATGTATTAATCTGAAGTTCTAATATAATAGATTAATCAATTTCAATATAAATGCTAATCTCCACTTTTTATATGCTTATATTTTTAACTTAATTGATTATGATTAAATTAGGATATTCTAAAGAAAATCTGGTATTTTAAAAAAGGATTTTACTTATATTCTCTAAGCTTCTGTTTAACCAAGATTACTTAATCTACTTGATAAATATATCTATTGACCATATTTGTGAATATTTATCAAACTCTCAATCACATCATGATACTTGTAACAGAGAATAATTTGATCTTTTAATTCATAAATTGAAATATTCGATATATTAAGAAATTCTTTTCTCATTATTTAACTAATTTGACTAACCAAAGAGTTATAACTTATTTAAGATAGCAATCTTCAAAATAGTATATAATAAATTAATAATTCTTTATTTTCATAAAATTATGATTACAAATACATACTAATTTAAAAATAATTAATTTTATTCCCTTCCACAATCATCAAAAAAAGAGAAACACCAAAAAAATTGTTTTTTTAATTAATACTCATGATAAGGTTATATCATTCAGTGATGAAGAAAATAATCCAATAGGACCAGCTAGAGTTTGGAAATTAGACGAAGATGTACCTGGATTAGCGATGTCTCGAAGTTTTGGGGATTATGTTGCGAGTTAAAAAGGAGTGATCCAGAAATTATCAGACATCAATTATTACCAACAGATAAATTCTTAGCAGTAGCTTCTGATGGAATTCGGAAGTTAAATTGTACTATTTCCTAAAAATCAATAGGGGTTAATAATTGGTTTAAAGAACATAGCGATTATTTAAAGTAGCTTAAACAATAAAGTCTTAATAATAATCGATAATAAGATGAAGATTTTACTATTCAAAAAAATAATCAATTTTAGTAGATGTTATTAGAAAATTAAGAAAATAATAATCATCATTATAAACAATTTCCTTATTAAAATGTTAAGATAGAAGAGCAAGTAATAAAATAAGAGATAGCATCAAATAATAAATTTGAGCACTAATTAATATTATAACCGATTGAAGGATAAAAATCCAACTTTTATTGTGTAAGAGAAACAGGAGCAAAAATAGGAAGACATTCTAGCAATTAGATACTAATTTTAGAAAAAAATATTAGTAGATTCCATGCTGAAATTATTTTTAAGATCAAAAAGTATTTTTTACTGCAATCTTAGTTTGCTCTAAAGGATGTTGGAAGTACAACAGGAAAATTTATTAAGATAATTAAAAGTCCTAACTTAAAATCAGGTATGCTAATAGAATTAGGCAACCATCAATTTTAAGTGTTAAGAATTGATCAAGTGAATAATGAAAGACTTGAATTAATCTATTAAATATATATCGAAAGATTACTTTATAAGTGATTGAAGGATCAAATTTAGAAGATACAATTGCTTTCTAGTTAAATAAAGATAAACCCTCTGTTAAATTTAGTAGAAAATCTACTGTGGATATTTCATTTCCAGAAGATCATCATCTATTAAATTAACCAGCGAAATTTTATCTATTAGATTCTATTATGTTATTAGAAGATTATGAATCAATAATGGGTATTCTTATATATGATTATTATTCAAGCAATTATTACAATCTTATAAATTATGTTGATAGATTATGACCATGTTAAATTTAAGAATATGAAAGATATTATTGTAATCTATAATTTGATTGATAAAAAATAAAGGAATTAATTATTAAAAAGGGATAGGATAGTTCAAAAAAATGTTATAAGAGAAAACAAAGACTAAAAAATGTATGCAACACGTCTTAACAATATTATAAATGTATATTTAATTTATTATTATATAACATGTCAGATGAATTTGATATAAAAGTTAATTTTGAATAAAATGGTTCAATGATTTTTGAAATGTTTGAATTTATAATAGGGTAAGATTTCCAAAAGCAGGAATTAAGATTAATAATGAAGGATTAACATCTACAAATGGAATGCAAATATAGACAATAAAGAAAGTCATAACATATTAAAATTGGAGATATAATTGGTTAGGGAGTGTCAAGCTAGGTTTGTATATGACTCTATATCCCATAAAATTGTAAAGTAGCATTAAAAGTTGACACATATACTTAATATAAAGATAATCAATGTTTTTGACAAGGATAAACGACGTTAAATGCCGAATGATCTGAGTACATTACTAAATGGTATAGAATGTGTGCAGTAGATAAAGTTTTATGGAGCCTATTATGAAGAAGGTATCTCTTTAAACAAACAAATAAGGAATTATATGATTAGTTCTATAGCACATGGATCAAGAATCTTTGAAAAGCTTAATTGAATAGATTTATAAAAACAATTTAGTTGAATTCATCAATGAACAAATCAATACTACAATAATTTACAATATTCTCCTAGGGTTAGAATATTTGCATAAATAAAAATATTTACTTCATCAAACCAGAAAATATTCTAATCAATAATTAAGGATAAATTAAACTTTCAGAATTTGGGATCAGTAAATAACTGGAAAATACTATTGCAATAGTCAGAACCTTTGTTGGCACTCTTATGTACATGTAATTAGCAATAAATTTGATTTGTAATAATTTAATAGGTCTCCAGAAAGAACTGAAGGAAAGAATTAT